ACCGCTAATCAGTATACCACTAATCCTAAGCCAACTAAGTTGACGGCCCCGCACCTGCCTTCCCCGAGTCATGCCCGCACGAGAACTAATTACAAGACCATCAAACAACCCAGCGTCCTCCCCAGTCCAAGTCTGAAGCCCCTCTGGTATGAAGCCAACCAGCACTAAGGGTAGCCAAAGCCGAGCAAAAGACCGACCCAACCAGGTTCCTCATCCAACAATCATAAAATCACTACCACCAGGTCTAAATACCATCCCACAAAACCTCCACCACAGTAGAAAACCAAACAAACACACAAACTAAACCCGCAGGAGACACAATGGCAGGAAGGAGGCAGCCCACATGTCAACCTCTCACACCCACATGCCAGGCCGTCAACCCTATGAACCCACTTTGCTGGTTGCCTCCCAAGAGCGTACCGGTGAGGAGGACCTGTACCCGCTGCCGGTCCCCCAAACAAAACAACACAAATAAAAGAAATACATAGAGGTAGTAACAGACCAAGAAGCTCAGTGAGGCCTATCTCCCACCCATGGTGCCATGCCTCCTCCTGCCAAAACCCGTAGCCCAACCAAAGAAACCAAACAAACCCCACAAAGCCCAGCACGTAAGACACAAACTAGTCCAACCAGATAGTCGCAACTCACTATCGGCACAGGTGGCCATCAGCCAGCCTGTCTATCAGGGAGCTTTGCAGCACTCATCAGCTTCACCCAATAGCCTAAGCCAGACTGGAAACACTTAATTAGACCTCGCCCAACCTAACCAGGTCTAACCGGTGCTCGCAGGCGCCTCTCCCACCCCAGTCCGCTCCCCCCAAGCCCCTCACACCAGGCGCCACCGAGCCCATCCAGCCGCCTCAGCTCCTCAGACAGATCCACCATCCGACAGCCACAGGACGGGATATACCTAGCCCCATCAAGCAGCCACTGGTCTTGGCCACTCAACAGAGCCCCAACCCCCAGTACCTTGTAGTCGAGGGGGCCCACCAGCCTTAGCCGGGAGCCACAAAGGAGGCAGCACCAACACCCAAAGGCATCGACACCAGCCACACCATCCAACCCAGTCCAACCGAAGTCCAACCAAGCCAGGAAAGAGTCTGCAGAACTAGCCAAAGCCAGCCCCACAGGTCTAGCAATAAGCACAGACCAAATCATGGACTAGAGGCACCCCCAACTGATATGACATGAAGGGGGAGGGCGAACGAACAGGAGCAGACAAACAGAAGGTAGGCTCCGCTTGCAATGGGTGAAGCCGCCAACCACAATACACAACCGAACCACCCAACCAAATAGACAACGCGAGAGTCTGGCGGCCAATTGTCCCACACTATCCTATGCAGCACTGAACACCACACCAGGGGGTAAGAGCTTTCAGAGTCAAAGCCATCCCCACTGAGGCAAGGAGGAGACACCTGACTGAACCACCATAAATACTACAAGGACAAAAACTCCAAGGGAACAGTGATAAACAACATCATAGGATTCCGACCGTAGAAATATAATGTAATGAGGAGGGATCAGGCAGGTACTACCCTGCCACCTGAGGAGTGATGCAGCCAGTACGACGAGTTGAAGACACGGGATGGTCATCAAATAAACCTGTGGGTGTTTTGTATCGTGAAAACTAAAGATTGCATTAAAACTCAACCAGAAGATGAGCTGGCCCAGAGAACGACACGGGTGATCCACCCAAATACAAATTTCAATCCCCCCAAACAAACGCGAAACCTGCGCGTAGACGATAGATACGAAGCCGAAGACATTTTACTGAAAGGGGCTCGTAAGTGGCCGTGATGAATAGCTCGAAGTGCCAGTATCGTGAGATAACCAGCAGGCAACAAAATGAGAAGCAAACAAGTAATCTGCTACGCAACGCCTAACAAACCTCAACACCAAGAACTCCAGGAACTACTGAGTAAACTCAGATATCTCCCCCAGAATCCAAGGCATTAGGGCCCATCATGGGTGTGAAAGAAATACTCTGGGCGAAGCGATGGCAATGACGAGGAAAAGTACTTATAACAAAGCATGTAGAACGTATCCTCCTCGGCCGCATCGCCCTCCTTCTATAGTGTTCTTCCCGCACGTAGTCATGTAACCCAAAGTGGTCACATGTGCGAAATCAAATCATAACAAACTAGTCATGTGACCAAGGTTGTCACATGCTCAAAACCCATGACCTCATAATGAGGTCATGTGCAAAACTCATAAACCAATCATACCGCAATAAACAAGTCATACGACTCGACTGAGTCATATGCATGAAATCTATGACCTCATAATGAGGTCATGTGCAAAACATAAATCATATGCGCAAGGCCTACCTGCAAGGCACACTCGCAAGGCATACTCATCAGGCACACTCCCATGACTCATATTTGAGCAATTTGCGAAAGAATCACAAATCCCACACATAACAAATCATTTGACTCGAATGAGTCATATGTGTGACACCATAACATACCTGTGACTCATAACCATGTGTCAAGTGAAAACCTTTTCCTCGCCAAGCCATATTCATGACAATAACTCAGAATCACATAAATGAAATTAATTCATATATGGGTTTTTCAGCAAAATCTGGAAAACTTTCATTTTGGTTGTTTTACATTAGTAGTACTTTTAGTTTACAATGTCATGAAAACTACTACCATGTTGAGAAAAAAGTGATAATATATTACTGATTATACCAAATTCAATGTATATTACTTGAAAAGTTCTGAGTAGGTACTTCTCAAGGCCAGCAATCTTTCTATCTAAAACTTGCTTTAAATTTAAATATATTCTGAGGTCAGAGGCTACTCTTTCAGGTAATAAAGGCTTGGAATTATTTGGTTTATTTTGTGATAATCATAAAGTTTACCATTTTTCACTGAAATGTATTCATATATGATATTATAATATCTCTACTATATATCATCTTTGTAAATGCCCTTATATCCATTAATCTATATCCTATTTCCATCTGATAAAATTCTTAAATTTTGTAGCAAGCTGAGCATGGCCCAATTTAAATATTTCTAAATAGCAAAAAAAACAGAAACCATCAAAGTGGAAAAATTGCAATTTTTGTGGTGAGCCTAGCAGGGCCTTTCTTTTTCCTCTCTTTTTTTTTCTGTGTTGGGTCCTGGCTAGGGACTGATTAAAATGACACGATAGTGTTTTTGTCATTTTCATCGGTCCCACCGTTATAGTAAGATTTCAAGAGTTGGACACATTTTTTTCCTTTACCAATTTTCAGGCAATTTAGCGAAGTCTCATATTCCCAATCATAGGTGCACCTACCCTGTATTTCCATAAAAAATCCAGGCCTATAAGCAGCATGTATTCGACCGACTTACGCTCGCACCCTTAGTACAGTATTCCATGACAGGAGACCACACTGTAAATTTCAATACTTAATAGTAAACAAGAAGAGAATCTTATTTACAGCAAAACAACACACTTCCTCCTCCTCTTTCTTCTCCTTCTCCTCCTTCTCCCTTATTTCTCACTCTCGTTCCCTACACCCGGAAATAAACCCCCGTCCCAATCACGGGTTTACTCTATCATACAAACAAGAGAGACAGGCGGGAACGGAGGCAGACGGACAGAGGAATTCTCAACCCTGTCCCATACCATAAACATGTAAGCCATCTTTGTCCAGCACTGGTATCATACACGCGAGGTGAGAAGGGGGTTAGGTGTATCCTACACCAAACCCGTTTCCGAATTACTTGACCCCTCTCCTTCCTCACAGAATTCCTACAGCGCATGAATTTCTGCCTATACTCTATTCCACTCGAGTACGTTACAAGCCTACTCGTACTTGCCTCCCCCCTATACTACGGCAAGAGTACCGTAGTAGATTCCACTTACGGGAAGGTGGCGAGCTCGTTACAGTTCTAAAACCACGACCCAAGTTCAGGATAGCACCGACCCCTCTTCCCCATCCCTGTGTCTTATCATTCTCTCTTGTGAGAAAGTGACAAACAGGGGGAATGGCATGCTGGTACAAGTACTGTATCGGTACTTAGTAAAACTAGATGGTGCCGTACGAGTACTTATTCGTGTCTCCCGACCGGGAAATGGCGCCCGTTCGCCCTATCTCCGGGCCTGTACTTGTACGAGTACTAGTATGGCAGTTCCAGAAAGCGTACCACTCCTGGTGCCGAGGCACGAGTATATTACGGATACAGGTACTCGTATCTACTGGTACCTGTATCATACCCACGCTGTTCCATGCACGTGATAACAAGGACTATTGCATTCTACGGTGTCAGATGTTTTGACAACGCAGCAAACAACCTTCTCTGCTGGAAAAGAATCTTCACAGCACCGCACCCTTCCTACTCACACAAATCGAAGTGCAAAAAAAGGACTCTATCTGATACACACTCTGCTTAACTTTTCCTGCAAACCCCATGCTCTTGCTTCTTCTTTCACCCATCCTTCCTCTCTTTTCCCCTTTCCAGCCCCCCTCGGATCAAATTTCCATTAAAAACCTCGATCAAGTCAACTTGAGCTGCACGCTTTTACCCCCTTCTTCTAAGATTGTGATAGCATGCGTACACTACTCGAGTACGCAACTTAACCGTACAGAACTCCAGTGCGCATAAGCACTTGCAGTACCTTACTATCACACCCTACCACGATTGAAGTTTCCAGCGAGGAGGCCCTTTTAACCTCCAGCCTCGTGTTTCTTCGCGCAAGCTACGAGGGAGGCATTATACCGCGCCGTGTGGATCGGGGAGGGGGTGAGCGGGAAGAATGGGGTTTATGGGCGACTGTAGCTAGATGCCGATGCCGATGCCGATGCCGGTTTTAGTGCTCAATTAGTACCGGTACATACATGGAGGAACGGTACTCGAGTACTCGTACAGTAGTAATTCAAAGTGCCGTATGCCACTCCAACTATTTATTACTCGAACTCAAAGGATAAAAAGTGACCCCGCACTGGAACAAGCGTCGGGTGGCCCAAGGACCCCTGCTTCATCCGGACCCATCATTCGGTTTGAGGGGTGATACAACAATGGTATAATATTCCGCACATAATACTACCAATACCATCTCATATGGGTACAATATATATGTATATACAGGACCATCTTCCCATCCCTTCCGACCCCCCCACCCATCCATCCATCCATTCCCAGGAACTAGAAAATAAGACTAAAGCTGAGATAAACCGGAAAACAAAACACAAGCAAGCAAACTAAATAAAAAAGTCCGATAGTAACAGATGGCAGAAAAAGAGAAAAATGAACACCAGAATATAAGGAAATAAATATAATCAGTGATTTGGAGCGAAGACTCGAACTCCTGAAAGTAGAGTAAAACAGCGAGCACACAAGGGGAGGTGGGGGGTATCGAGTTGTAAAAGGGAAACCCGAAAAAAAGGGGGGGCTTTACAACGAATGAAAATGAGGTATCATACCCAAAGTGTTTTTTTGATCTCTCGGCTAAGGGCGGTAAAAAAAGGTTGAAACAAATAAAAACCAAGTGGGGAAAAAATGAAAGTAAAAAGGATAGTCTCCCCAGGAGCTCTCCTTCCCAGTCATCTCATAAAAATGTACAGTACAGGAGACGGCAGATGGGATAGGAAGCGAAAATAAAAATTAGGCGTAATACCTTTATCAAGCGATCGTAGAAGATGGAAAAAATCGGGAATATGAAGGAAATTCGAGATCCCAACCATAAACTGGCTTAGCAAGGGAAAAAGAAAAAGGGAAATCATGATCCAAACGACCGACACTGCGCGCCCATTCCCCTTGTGCTCGAAACCCATCACATCCTATCACTCCTCCATTTCTATCAACCCCCACAAGAAAAAGGAACGAAGCGGGAAGAAAAAGTAAAGAAGGGTATCATTCATGCTCCGGTTTCCCCCGAGTAAAGCCTACTGAATATAGGAAAGATAAAAAGAAATTGTTTTTTAGACCCCCCACGGCCAAATTCCAGCCGGCGATGAATGCTCCATCGCTGCTTCCGCGACGATCTACACCCCCACTCCCTTTGTTCGATTAGTAACAAATAAGCCCTTACAAAGGAACCTAAAGCTAACCCCCGACTGCCTAGAACCCATCCGAGCCCCCTGATTCAGCCGGCCGAGTCGCTCCACCGGCCCCACAGTAGTTGCTACAGGACGTCAAAGATGCTCCTAACGATCGGCGTCTCGCCGCGCTGTGTTGGACTCCTGGGATCTGTGAAAATGGAGAAGTTTCCAGAACGCCTCATCGGGACAGGAAAATAGGTGCTGCTCCGAGGGCTGGTAAAGTTCGGTGGGGGCGGGGGAAGATCGTCATCCCCGCTTCCGGCATCTCGACCATATATTTCCTCGCACTGAACAAGATATGCAGACGATTGCAGCAACGGAGGGACAGAGCCTACACGCGACTTCTCCGAAGCCCCCATCCCCCACAATGCGAGTGGAGAATCAGCTCGCTCAGAAAGTGGCGTTGAGATCTTCTCTGGCCATGATTGTCTTTTGAAAGAAATATCTGAGGCACCAGGAATCGTTATCATGCCCGGTGGAGCCGAAGAAGGCCCTGGAGAAACACCAGATATAAATCCACCATTCTCGGATCTCGTCCTCACCATTTGCGGGATTGGATGATCTCCAGATTGACCCATGCACGTATCCAAAGGTAATGAGGATGGTGAATTCCGGCAGACAGGCAATGGTGCTGTTTGAGGCTCCGGGATCGATTCTGACATCCCAGGCCCATCTGAGGGACCAGCTCTTCCAAAACCACCCCTAGTGTCTACTTTTGTATGCCCTCGGCCTCCAGCGCTTCCTGCACCTCCCCCTCTCCACCCCGCCATCACCGGCTGTGAGTTATCGGATGCGATCTTCTTCTTCCAATCTGTCAACTGGTAAATCAAACTCATGTTCGGCCCAATCCACTTGCTTCGCCCTTTAACCGCGTTATAGGCATCCTGCATTGTCTTTTCGGGAGATTTAAACATAGCATAGGCGATCAGTAATGTTGCTGAACGGCTAACGCCACATTGACAATGAACAAGCACTTTCTTTCCTGCGCTCGCTCTGTCGTTAATCAGGTTCACCAAATGAGGCAAATCGTCTAGGATTGGTGTATTATGATCCCATAGCATATGCACATACTCGGGCTGCTTGTGTTTTGGTCCTAGTGCGTCTAATTTAGGCCTGCGGGAGGACGCTAGTACGGGGGAAAATAAGGCTTCCTCAAAGGCGGTTGTAAAACTTGCTTCCGTGCAGGCGGTGTCAGGTGGCAGTGAGTCCGACTCCGCATCCTTGCAGTTGGCGCCTAGTGCAGCCTTGGCGGCAGTCAAGTTTTTATCTGTCTTGAACGGGTTAACGACCTCCCTCGCTACATTCACAATAACATCGAATTGCGATGCGAGCTCAGCATCAGGTTCGGCGTATAGATAGATATTAGGATCAAAAATGCAAACAGGGCCGGAAGGGTAGGCAGGCGATTTTGCTTCTCCAGATCTTGGCTCCTCATCTTCCTCGTCCATCTCATGTAACACCTCAGGACTTTTGGGGGGCGAATTAGTTGTTGATGAGGAGGGGGAAGTTGACAAAGCGTCACGTGCATTGCAAGAGTTGAAGCTGTGACGCGGTTGAAACAACCGCGGCTGCCTGAAACCTGGGGTGAGAGGTAATCGCATGCCACCTGGAATGCCATTGGGTCCAGGGGAAAGTAAAGATGGTGATGATTGATGATGCCTTAATACACTGACACCACCAGCCAAGGGGCCCCGGACCGCGGACTTTTCAGGTAGGCTACCAGGTAACTTTATCGTTAATCCGAGGTTACTGGGCCTTCTCCGGGGATTTTGTGCAGGCGGTGGTGGCTTAATAAATGCAGGGGAAGTTGGTGCTGACATTGAACGTGGACTGGGTTGATTCACTTGTGTATTGGGCTGCGCACTAGATTGTGCCGGGGGTGGAGGCACGTTGAGGGAGAGGTTTTTTGTGTTTCGGGGTTTTTTGCTTGGAGAAATTGATCGCCCACAACCGGGCAAAGGGCTCGGGGGCACAATAGAGTAATCGTCAGAAGACATAGTAGTGCTTCGGAAGGAAGAGAGTGGTACCGCCCGCACCGATGAATCTGGGGAGGATTCAGGGGTGTGGTCTTCTGTGATTGCTGATTCGACTGTAGAAATGGTAGTTGTGGGTGAGGAATTTGTTGAGGAGGATGCGGACGTGGATACACTGTTGTTCTGTTGGTGTATAGGATGCTGTAATGATGGATGCTGTAATGATATTGGCCCAGCAGGTACCCTTGGCATGGTCGGTTTAACGGCACTAGTAAGGATGGGATGTGAAAATTGAGAGGTCACTTTTGTAGGAGAACATCCGGACATGTCGACGTCAGGATCAAAAATGGAGACAAATGACGGTACAGCAGGTGTCGGCACGTCGTAGACTATTGATGTCGGGGCCGATGGCGATTTACAAAAAGGATAACGGCGCTTTAGCGATAGTGACATGCGCTGCGACAAGTTGGATTGTTGGGTAGGTGTTGTAGTCTCGAAAGGTTTCTGTGGGTCCTGTCGATCCGCTGGTGAAGGCGGATAGGACCTTGAGACTCGTGTGAACGTCCTCTTCAACGAAGGTGTGTCAGTCTCGCGCGATGTCATCGTAGTACCCGACTCGGAATGTGATCGTGGGGAAACACAACTAGAGGACGGAGCAGCGAAAAGAAACAATTCCTCGACCATGATAAGGTGTTGGATTAGGTTGTGAAAAGGAAAAGACAGCTTTAAGGTGAGGGGAAGGTGAGGTGAAGTAGATAGAGGGTAAAGGGATGGTACCAAGGATCCTCCTTATCCAGATGTCAATCGGGGTTCTTAGATCTGTGCTAGGTGTAGGGTCTAAGGTGGAAGCTGTCTTAGTACACGCTCAGCGATCTCAGTAATGCTAACCTTCGATATTCCGGGAAACGAACAAGATGAACGAGTATCGCGGAAGAACTCAGGGTTTCGACCTGACAAATATGGAGGGGGCAGAAATAAAAAGTGTTCCCGTAATTAGACTGAGCCTGCTCGCAAGTTTTGTCAGTTAAAACTTGAATCGGACTGGCTTTCGATCACTTGTGGAATGGTGAAAGCAAGGGTATAGGAGTGTCAATGCGATTAGGAACGGATAATATCCAGTAGGTTAACTATTTACCTTCTTGTAATTTTTTCCTCCTTCACCTTCTGGTGCAAGGATCCAGCTGGGAAGCTAAGTCTGCGTTCGTATGTTGGTGTATGCCTATGTGGGTACTGTGCTAGGATGGTATGTGTGTCTGCGTGTGTCTGAGGCGGAGAGATATCCAAGTATAAGCCTCCAATCTCGAACTGGCAACCATCCAATCCCAAAATAGAAGTGGGGACAGACAATAGCCCAAATTTGGCCCAGTAGGCGGCAAAGCTTACCGAAGCGGGGGAATAAGTAGGTGAAAGGACAAAAATACAAAAAACAAGAAATGGATAAAAAATGGACCGCAAATATTCCCAGAACGCACCTACTGCAGACAGCCCCTATTGCGTGGGGGGGGAGATCCAAATGACTGGTGTTGTGGATAATTATAATAAAAGAGTAAGAGGGATTTGGGGAAATAGATCTGTTCCCAGCAAGATTAACTTGGTCAATGTTCCGTGAGGTTCTAGGTCGCGCCTATTGTTGGTGTCTGCCGTGAATTGTCGCTTGATCAGAAATTCTCCGTAGGCTTTTTCGGTCTGTTAAAGAGACCAAATATTCCTCAGAGGGTCGAAAATTAAGGGGAGTATTATATCTGAAAAGGAGCGATTAGGGTGTAGCCACGTATAGTTGCTTCTAGAGATATCTGACAGTAGGCAAGATTCTCTTTTTCGGTAACTAGGTCGAAAGGAGCGTATCGAACCCGCAGTTCTTTATTTAATCCGTCGTGCGAAGAACGTCCAGCGTTGCCTCCGTATCCCCAGCCTATGGAAAAAAAGAAAGAAAGGAAAGAAAAAAATTCCACCACGAGTACAGATCTCTCTCCTGTCCCCGCTGTTCCTGCAAATATTATAGTGGCTCAAAGTTCACGGGGCGACCGACGTATCTCTCCTCAATGCTCCTCTTGATTGAACCTCTCCGCCTTCTCGTAAATACTCCCCACCCCTTCAGTTCGAAAATTAGAGTAACTGAAATGTTCGGGTGTTGACTCGATAGAAGCGAAAACGACAAGAGAGCTGCCGCAAAACTGAGCCCCCCTTCTAAGTGGTGAGGAAAAAAAAAAGTGAGTCGGAAATCCAGCGGTATATGATGGATTCCAAAAAGGCCGGCCAATAAACCGCTAAAAACGCATATACTCGTCAGATGTTGACGCAGAGTAAGGAGCAGCCGATGTGGCCCACAAAGAATAGTTCTTCGCACGAGAAAGTACCGGGGCTAAACGTGGGAGACGAAGAAAGGGGATGACGGCCAACGGGCAATGTCTGCACCCAGAAGCGTGTTTGTTGAAGCTTGGGATGAAGGAGGGATGGAGGTGGTGGTAGTGATGGTTTTCCCCTCGGGGGTGCTGTGCTGCGAGGCAAAGAAAGTGACTTACCGCCTTGACAGACAACTGTATTCAGTCTTGGAGCGAAAGACGAAAGACAGGAATCCTAGCAGAAAAGAGAGGAAGACGAGCTAACCCCGACCGGGTCGTCTGACCAGGAAAATTTACAAGCGGGCAGGTTAGATTTGGTGGTGAAAGGGAAAAGAGGGATCCCCGAGGAATGGGTGCAGACAGGCGTCCGAGAGAGAGGCGAGGAGGGCCTAGCTCTAGTCTAACACAAAACCGCCGGCTCGCAATGCGCTGAGAGAGAAGGGAAAACAGAAAGCTGCTGTCGCTGCGGTATCGAAATCAGCTCAACAGCAGTCCACCTGTTTAACCTAGTGAGCACACGAAGCAGAAGGGAGACAAACAGGTGCGGGTAGCGGAAGGCAAGCAGCAGAAGCAGAGCAGATGGAATTCGAGCCAGGGAGAACCCATGCGTCCCCGATCACAAAACCGATAAAGAGAAAAGGTAAGGGCAAATGATTCAAAAACGAGAATTAAAAATAATGAAATGAACCAAAGGTACCGCAAAGTGGCGCACATCCAATCATCCGCTCAATGGGACTTTTCAGTAGACTTGGAGAGTGTTCTTGAGACCATTTTTAGGTACCAACAAACAGTCTGAGTACGGTACCGTACTCGAGTACTCGATTGCCCCCCCAGAATGAACAATGTGAGCACTGGGAATGTCAGAATGGTGGGTACCCAAGATAGCATCACCTCCCTCCTGAATTTCTCCCACCACGCAACCCTTGCACCCTCCACATCTGTGCGAGTACTAGTACTCGTACTTTCACCCTGTCTCAATGTCCGAAATTGGTTTAGCGCAGATGAAAGTGCCACTGTGCGTGTCCACCCAAGGAAAATAACTAACCTTATTCTGACTGGCGCTCATATCCTAATTGTTTCAGAATTGAATAAAAAACATCTCAGGCTTTGCGTTCCGATGGGCATCTCGAGGACGGTTCTTCCAGTACGTGTACTCGTACTCTACTTGTATCCATCCCTACCTGAACCCTGCCGCACAAGTACGGAAGGTACTCTGTACTCTCCGTATGGTGTGAGTACGTGCACAAGTACTCGAGTACAGGAACTGGACGAGTACCGGTACTGGTACTCGGTGCAAGAGGAAAATTATTGGGACAACTTTTTGTCTGTGCGTAATTACTTTATTTAGTCATTTCCATGAACCTTTTATTCAAATCCTACAAACTTAAACCCTTTCCAGAAGTATTGTGTTATTCCCGCTAATTTCTTCCAGCATAACATCCCCTGCCTGTCCCAATACTTTCCCTCTGCCCCTCGTAATTTTATGGTGCCGGCACCTTACAAACGACCCTCAGTGCCATCTAGAGCCAGCACACTCATCCTAATGCAGTATGTGACCTTACTACTTTAGGAAATATATTGGCGTATTACTCAGCCAATCTTGTTTTTCCCATGCAAGGGCCAACCCCCGGCTCCACCTAAATTTTGCATCAACTTTGGGAGCTACCGGCACTACTTATAGAAAGATCCACCCCGCTAGAATGAGATCTACTCTGAAAATGTGTTCTTTATATGTTTTAGGATAATTATACAAGTATAGGGAACTATTGAAATAATGGCATGTGAAGTTGTTGTGGTCTGTCGAAAAATCGGTTGTCTTGAGAGCTGATTCTAAGGTGCCGGCACCATAGAATAGAAAAAAGCCACTTCAAGCTTTTCCTCACCCTCAGGGTTCCGGGCGCATTGATCGACGGGAATATTATTGATCTCTTACTCGAACGGAAATAAAAGAAGCCCACGTTGTTTCAGATCAACCAGGAGTGTGCTCAATGCGGTCCATGTTCTGTGGCTGGAAAGGACAAATACGGGTATGATTTCAGTACTACGGCGGACACATTACTCGTAGCAGGTTAGGGGCGGTTCAGCCACAGCCCTCCAATATGGGAAGGCCGTTGGCACGCCAGCTACAGCCACAGGCCACTAGAGAACGTTTCAATTTCCAACCAAAGTAGGCGACCCAATTGGATTGGCTGCAATGACCCTCATGTCCCAGGCGAAAATGGTCTGAATACTCTGGGGAATGATGGCGCACAGTGCGACCGATAGTCGATACTCGAGTATATGGAGTTAACTTGATAGTTTCCTTCCCTGCCTTAATCTTTCGCGGGATACCAAGACCATCCAACCATGAGAGAAGGAGAGGTGACATTTCCCCGCCGTAATGCTACTCGAGTAGTTGGACATACTCGAGTAAAGATGAGGCTCGAGTATCTGATCTAGTGTAGGCACCATCTAACCCGTTGAAACCTAAACATCTGCCAGATTATCGAACTAGCAGGGGGTTGGCCATCGTAAGGGACGATAATGGTTGCGGAGAGAAGCAAATTGAGTTGGCAGATCACAACTGCCAGGTTTCGTCAGCCAATGGGTGAGGTGGTGAACAAGTCTGGAAGGGTCACAAGGCATCATGGGCCATGAACTGGACATTTCGCGTGGCATATGGTCAAAAGAGGACACTCTTTTGTAAATGAGCTACCTCAGATTGAACGCACAAACAACGACGCTCTAAAGGATACGATTAAATTACGTCCTACGCATACTCGAGTAGATAATTGAAATAGGCAACGATATTGCCCCCTATGTGTGACTGCTTACGAGGGAGATGGCAAACGAACCATTATCTGGGTGAAGGTTGATGATGGCAGAAGTGAGGTGATTATGCTAGCACGGTCACTCATCGGAACTTGGCGAAATCAAAATTTTACCGAGATGTAAAGTAGCTGCAATAGCAGACGCGAAAAGTGGTTTTAATAGGAGTTTTCGCAGATATGGATCGAATTGATAGTGATACTGCTCGCGTAGCAGTTGGGGGGGGCACAGGGACAATTATGCAATATTCGAAATTTGAAACGTGACCGCTGTTTGAGCATCATTGAGCGGGTTATCTCAGGCGCGAGAGTGCTCGGGTAGAAGAAATAGGCAAAATGGACCGGTTCACAAGGAAGGTTTCGGGAGGAAAATGAACTACTCGCTGACTATCTATACAGTTCTGGAGTGGCGAAGAAACCCGAGTGATATATTATGATCCTACTCTAAGTGATGACGTTCTTGTAAATGGTTAAACGGTCGGCTTTGGGATAGGCGAACTATTCTCGGTAGCCGGGTTGTTGGTTTTTGGCCGGG